TGGCGCACCTGGCGCTTCTGGCGCGCCTGGCACACCTGGCGCACCTGGCGCACCTGGCACACCTGGCGCACCTGGCGCACCGAGTGCACCTGGCGCGCCTGGCGCGCCTGGCGCACTTGGGGCGCCTGGCGCACCTGGCGCACCTAGCGCGCTGGGCGCACCTGGCGCGCACCTGGCGCACCTGGCGCACCTGGCGCACCTGGCACACCTGGCGCACCCTGCGCACCTGGCGCACCTGGCGCCGCTGACGCGCCTGGCGCGCCTGGCGCACCTGGCGCACTTGGCGCATCTGGCTCACCTGGCGCACCTGGCGCGCAGCGCACCTGGCTCACCTGGCGCACCAGGTGCGCCTGGCGCACCTGGCGCACCCGGCGCACCTGGCGCACCTGGCGCACCTGGCGCACCTGGTTCCCCTGGCGCGCCTGGCGCACCTGGCGCAACTGGCGCGCTGGGCGCGCCTGGCACGCCTGGCGCGCTGGGCGCACCTGGCGCAGACCTGGCGCACCTGGCGCACCTGGCGCACCTGGCGCACCTGGCGCGCTTGGCGCACCTGGCGCACTCTGCGCACCTGGCGCACCTGGCACACCGGCGCACCTGGCTTGCCTGGCGCACCTGGCTCGCCTGGCGCACCTGGCGCGGTTGGCGCGCCTGGCGTTCCTGACACGCCTGGCGCACTTCGCGCGCCTGGGGCACCTGGCGCACCTGGCGCACCTTGAGCGCTGGGCGCACCTGGCGCACCTGGCGCACCTGGCGCGCACCTGGCGCGCCCATCGCCAAAATGTACGAAACGCATACGAAACATGTACGAAACATGTGCGACACATATACGACACATATACGAAACAAATACGTAGTATGTACGGAACATATACGAACCATATACGGAACATATACGGAACATATAGGAAACGCATGCGAATCATATACGAAACACACACGAAACATATACGACACGCATACGAAACGCAGGCAACACAAATACGGAACATATGCATAACATTTACGACACACATACGACACCTATACGGAACGTATACGCAACATTATACGAAACAAATACGACACATGTACGACACATCTACGAAACATATACGAAACATATACGAAACATATACGAACCAGATACGAAACGTAGACGGAACATATGCGAAACATTTACGAGACATATGCGACACACAGACGAAACATATACGAAACGTATGCGAAAACTAGACGCACCGCATCCGACATATATGCGAAACGTATGCGAAACATGCACGACACGCATGTCAAACATATACGAAACCTATGCGAAACAAATGCGACACATATACGACACATATACGAAACATATACGACACATGTACGGGACATTTACGAAACACATACGAAACATATTCGAAGCATATGCGAAACATATGCGAAACTTATACAAAACATATGCGAAATATATACGACACATATACGAAACAGATGCGAAACATGTACGCACCATATACGAAACCTACCCGACATATCTACGACACATACACAAACCATATACGAAACATGCGAACCATATAAGAAACATGGACGAAACATACACGAAGCATATACGAACCGTATCCGAAACATTCACAACACGTATACGAATCGTGTACGAAACATATACGAAACAGATACGAACCATATACGAAACATAGACGAAACATCCACGAAACGTATACGAAGCATATGCGAACATATACGAATCATATACAATGCATATACGAACCATATACAAAACATATACGAGCCAGATGCGAAACATATACGAAACATTCGCGAAACACATATGAAACATACACGAAGCAAACACGACGCATATACGAAACACATTCGAACCATATACGAAGCATATACGGGAACATCTACGAAACAAGTACGCAACTTATACGGGCATATACGACACATATACGAAACACACACAACAAGTATACGAAACATGCACGAAACATATACGAAGCGTATAGGAACGCATACGAAACGTATACGAAACATTTACGAAACATATACGACCTACACGAAACCTTCATGAACCATATACGAAACATCTACGAACCGTATACGAAACAGCTACGAACTATGTACGAAACAGACATGAAACATATACGAAGCAAATACGACACATGTACGACACATATACGAAACAGTTACGAAACATAGGCGAACAGATTCGAAGCGCACGCGAAACATATACATACATATATATATATATATATGACACATATACGAAACGACACATATACGAACCATATACGAAACATATACGAAACATATACGAAACAAATACACATCATACACGAAACATATACCAACATATACGGAACCGATGCGCAACCGATGCGCAACATATGCGAATCATGTGAGGAACATATACGAAACATATATGAAACATGTACACATCATGCATGACACTTGAACGAACCATATACGAAACCTTTACGGCACATACGCGAAACGTATACGAAACATACACGAAACATAACCGAAACATAAACGA